CCCCCCCACTTTTCCGGAGTCCCTGGAGCCTAAGGGGCCTCCCGAGAGTTCCCAAACCAACCCTGGGCTATGATCAGACTGCTAGATTGTTCCGTTCCACTCTTTGCAGGGGAGAAAGAAAGAGCGTGATTAAGGAGTCGGGCCCCTTGATAAAGTGAGGATGCCACTTCTGTCTATAAAAGCCACTCACTGCAAGTTGCTGTGATATCTAAATGGGATTGGTATGGAAAACATTTAGCCCAGGGTTCAATGCACCATCGTTCCTTCCCTCCCTCCAATTAGGAGCTTGTCGGATACCTGGATTTTCCAAGCGGAATAATTCCGTTTCTCCTCCTTGTGGCTTTTTCATTTACCTGTGACCAGAGGCTGGACCCATTAAATCGAGGCCCCTCCCCCCACACTCAAAAGCCCTGGTGAGAAGCCCAGCAGAAAGGCAAACCGAACTCACGTTTGACAGCCAAACACAGACAGGGCCACTAGGGAGGCAAACCCCCCTTAGACTCATCCACCGTTTGCAATCAGAGGGGCCGCATTTACCCAAGGACAAAGCAGGCTTAGGAAAGGAGGAGGAATCGGTGCCGCAGGAAACTCCTTGAGGAAGTGGGGGTACGCGGCGTGTCATTGTGGGGCTCGCCATCGATGTGGATGCGTGCAAAGCTGACCTCCTCTGCCAACCTTCACCTCCCTCTCAATGCTAAGTTTAAAAATGACTAAAATGAAAAGCTCCCTGTCCACCTCCGCCTCTCCCAAATCTTCTCACTGTGGTCAGGGGTTTTATTCCACAGGGACTCCTGGCCGAGGAAAGAGGGACAGTGTTCCCGGCGAATCTTCTAAGAGCGTCACTTTTAGATGGCGGCAAGCTTGGCCTCTAACCTTTTGTTCTCGGCTTCCTCTCCAATCCCCTGGCGATCCCACAGACCCCTGCTCATCAGTCCTCAGGCTGCGGGCCCAGGTTTCCACCCCAGGTGTCTTTTGCTGGCTGTTACCATGCTTGAGGGCAATTTCCTCATCTGCAAAACAGCCGGAAGCACTTCTGAGGTTTTTCTGAGAATTAAGCCAAGCGATTAAACAAAGTGCCCTGCCCTGGAGCCGGTCTCCACCAACATTCCGTGGTGCTGGGCCAGGGCTGTTGCCTGACTCGGTCATGAAGGACCGGGACCAGCAACTCAATACAGCCTGGCGCATGGCATAACTAAGCCTCACCCGGGGTTCAACCCTGATCAGCAGAATTGGGAGTCCCTGGCCTCTGACAGACCCCCATTCCCAACTTCAACCAAACTCTACATCCACAGGGTTCCCTGAAAGAAGGGGGAAGAGTAAACATTTATGGAGCACATACTGTGGGCCAGGGACTGGGCTGGGAGCACAGTCTCATTTCATTCTCACGACCCAAGAACCGTCATCCCCATTTCAAAACTGAGTTTTTAGTCTGAGCTCACACAGGGAAGAGAGGCCTGAACCTATTGGCTAAAATGAGGGTGCCCTCTGTCCAGCCAGGGAGTTTAGGAGTGTGACATCGTTTGCCTCCCGAGGACAGATCTGACCAAATGCTCTTTCCCCTGCTTCTGATTGGTGAGATGCTGGCTTTGTCTGGGGGGATTGCTGGATCTTGTGTCATGAGCAATAAATTACCATCGGCTTCCACCCCTCCTCTGTATTGTGATAACCATGTGCAGCCCCTGTGTTGGGGAGAGACCATGTACACAGGACATAGGATCATAAGAACAAGAGGTGGGGTCAGGAAAACGACCTGGTTCTTATTGCCAAAGCCACAAAGTTCTTGGTCCTTGGTGTTGCCCACAGATGGCAGCCATATCTGTCAGCTTGCCAATTTGTTTTTGCCAGTGGAGTCAGGCAGCAGGTGGCTGTGGGCATTGCTCTAAATATGGACCATTGGGCTGTGCCCTCCCAGGGAAAATATAGGCCCCTGGGACAGTGGAAGGCTGGTCCGTGACACTTGAAGCTGCTTTGACAATTTTCAAGCTCAAGGAGGAGGGCAAGAGGCACTGGGCACGTGTTCAAGGTTCCCCATGCCTGCTTGAGTTATAGAGGGGACACTGGATATGAGTTATGACCCAGGCACCAATCCTATTTCTACTGCTTTCCAACCACGTCAGCTGAATGAAGTCAGTCTGCCTATCGGAGCCTCAGTTTTTCCCTCTGTAAAACGGGATAGCCGCACATTTCCTTACATTCCTCATAAGCTTGTTGAGCTGTTTGAAGGCGAGTGTGCAAATATGTGGCTGCGTCTTATGTCATGCCCATCTGCGTCTTGCCAGCCATCGACTGTGAGCTCACCGAGTGGTCCCAGTGGTCAGAATGTAACAAGTCATGCGGGAAAGGTCACATGATTCGAACCCGGATGATCCAAATGGAGCCTCAGTTTGGAGGTGATCCCTGCCCTGAGACTGTGCAGCGCAAAAAGTGCCGCATCCGGAAATGCCTGCGAAATCCATCCGTCCAGAAGCTGCGCTGGAGGGAGGCACGGGAGAGCCGGAGAAGCGAGCAGCTGAGGGAAGAATCCGAGGGAGAGCAGTTTCCAGGTACCATTCCCAAACGGGGAGCTCTTTACTGAGCCACGTCTCGGCTCTGCCAAACACTGAAGGGGCGGTGGGAGGAAGAGGAAAGAGGAGAGCCAATTACCTGGAGACGTCAGAACTACACTTTTGAGTTTTCAGACGCAGTTAATGTTCGTTACGAGGTAACCCACAGATGTTGACGAGTTTGGAGTCCCCAGGGGTGCAAACCATTCATGCTAACCAAAAGTTGGAGGTTCAGATCTGCCCAGAGGTGCGCGATGGTCTCCTTCCCCCAAATCAGCCATTGAACCCCTTTGGATCACAGTCCTGCCGACTCAGAAGGGTTGTTACCATGAGTCAGAATCCACTCCGTGAGAACTGGCTTGGGTTTGGGTTATCCGATCACAGTGTCATCTATGGCACTCGTTAGCAAGTATGCAGGCCAATGAAGGATCGGGTACAATCCCACGGACCTTTCCTCTCGGGAGCTTACAGTGTGGTACGGAAAACTGAGGGAGGGTGAGCTCTTCAGTATGGTTACTTCTATGAAGGAGGAATAGATAGTCAATGGAAGCATCCAAACAAAAGATCGACTTCATTTCGGAGGGTCGGAGAACTTTTCTTAGAGAAAGGCATGTTTTAGCTGCAAGGAAAATAGAACTCGGAGTTGGCCGCACTCAGTATTTGGGACATTAAATACTCAGGGTGCGAGGCGTAAGACAAAAAAATGCGCCTTGAGTGGGTGCTGCCCAGCAAGCTACCCCAAACCAATAGCCTTTTTAATAACACATGTATTAGCTTATGATCCTGTGGGTCTGTGGTAATGGACAGGCTCAGCTGGATGATTCTCCCGCTTCCCCCGTCAGCTCACTCAGGAGCCTACTGTCAGCTGATGGTTCAGCAGCGGCAGGAAGGTTTTGCCCCGCTTGCCTTTCATTGGGGGAGGGGGGGGGGGCGCTCCCTCCACATAGTCTCTCTAGCAGGCCAGTTCAGGCTGGCTTCCACAGTAGTGAGAAGGTTCCTGGCAGCAAAGCAGACCAAGCCCGAGAGTTCAGTTATGTTTTCAAGCCTGTGTTTGCTACTGCCCCATTGATAAAAACAGATAGGAGGAGGTCCAAAGTATTTGTGACCACTTTTTTGATATATAGCACATATGAACAAATATCACCTAATTAGAACTGTTCTCTGGTTCATTCAACAAATCACTACATAAGAGAAGCAGACAACCACACAATTGAGTTTGGCAATCCTAGCCCATTGTCAACCGGAGTTCACCATCCTTATTCTGTGGCCCTTTTCTGCTGGTCTAACCAAGTGTTCTCACGCTCACAGGCTGTCGAATGCGGCCCTGGACAGCTTGGTCAGAATGCACCAAACTATGCGGAGGCGGCATTCAAGAACGCTACATGACTGTCAAGAAGAGGTTCAAAAGCTCCCAGTTCACCAGCTGCAAAGACAAGAAGGAGATCAGAGCTTGCAATGTTCACCCTTGTTAGCAAGGGCACAAGCTCCACAGAGCTGCACTCCAGATTCCAGTCACCAGTGGCTGGATTGTGCTTGCTTGTTTGTTTGAGGCAATTTAAATTGTGTACTAGTTTTCATTTCTGCAGTACGGGTCACCCGATAGTCTTGTGGATGCAAGGGGCATCCTTTCTGAGTACTTCTTGGTGGGTGCAGGATGAGCAGGGCTCCTTTAGCCTCAGCTGGCCCTCTTCCTGCGCACAAATGAGTAGTGTCAGCCACCTTGTACTAAACGGAAACCTGTCTTACTGGGACATCCACCTGGTCAGGCGGAACAGGGACACATGGAGAGACCATTGTGTTGAGAAGTGATTCTAGGCCCCAGTCCCAGGGTGCAGCAGACAGGAAAGCATTCTCCACCAAACCGCTAGGGCGGATTCCCCTCATTCTCACCGCTGGCCTGCCCCCTCTACCAGGAAATGTTTATTTGCTCATCCCTTGTCCTTTGTTAGGTCCCTTGTTAAGTCTCCTCAGTCAGCGCTCGTTCTTGGGAAAAACTGAGCTGGGAGACTTAAAGGGGAGCTCTGATATTGGGTGACTTTTCTTTTTTCAATGAAAACTTTTATTACACATATCTCACCTCTCAATATTGGTACCTGATACCCCTAAGAGCGAAAGGGAATGATGGCTGATGATTTAAGCATAACTGGTTCTTAACACCTAAGGTAAAAGGTACCAAGTGTGGCAAGTATTTTTCCTTTGCCGTTTCCTTTCCTGGCTAATTTATCCTAGGAAGCTAGACTTCTAAACCTCTTGGCGCCAAGTCCTTACTAGAATCAGGACCAAGGCAGCCAAATTCATCTTTCGGGGAGTACCAACCCTAGCAGTTTATAAAAATTTGACTTACATACTTTTTAAGTTTCCTAATAAAATGTTTTATTTTTTTAGTTATGTCAACATTTGGCTAAACCTGTCCACACCTCCAAGCCTTTCCATCAACAGAAACACTATCTCTGTACTTTATTTTTTTAGTCAGAAAAGTGTCTATGCAGGGGTGGGGAATGTGTGAGACTAAGAGAGGCAGCAAGTCTAAGGAAATAGAAATACGAAGGGGTACGGCTGACCAAGGAGGACCTGCGGAACGTCGCCCCTGCTGCCTGCCTCTCCAGGCCTTGGTGCTGGTCCTCAGACATATCTCGAGGGAAGGCCATGAATTTTTCCATCCCCTTCCAAGTATTCACGAACACACCAAATTCAGGGAGACCCACTACCAAGGATTAGCGTAAAAGGACAGTTTGCTAACTTGAGTCCATCAGCTGTCGCAACTTATTTGTTTCTTATAAAATATATGTTAATTCATGCTGCAGGTTTTTTTGTTTTTTTAGTGATCTCCAATTATGTACCATGGATGCGATGCAGACATGCTTTGAATACACTACTTTAAGAATTTGCATCAGACACACCAGTTTATTCCTGAACACAACTTAATGCTACTACCCTGAATATGTACTATCCTAACACGGGACTGTTCAATAAAAAACATATTGGGACTAGTTTTCATGTTTTTATGGTAACCGAGTGTGCGGGGATTTTATTTTTTGCAAATGTTAGTCACCTCAGTCATTTTCAGCAGAAGATATAGCTTTTGCTCCCTCATTCCCAGGGACATTTCTGCATCCCGGCACTTCCTGTAGCATGGGACTTATTTCCAACATTGCATTTAAACCCTTAATTGGATGACTTCCCCGCCCCCACAGAAGCATCATATAAATAAGGCTTGCTTGACTTTTCTACTTGGACCAAAGTTCCGATACTTTTATTTTTGCCCAGGTTTGCAACATGGCTTTCAGGTGTCTAGATATTTAAGTTAAGATATTTGTTCTTAACTCATACAACTCAAAATTCCCTTTGCACAGTGTGACTGCAAGTCCACGCCACCCTAGTATCTCATGTTCCCACTTAACCCCTAGAGGGGACACTTTAAATTGTCATTTTGGACACTTAAAACCAGGTATTTAAAGACGAAGAAGGGTAACACTTATCAAGACATAATTCTTAGGCCACATAAATAGTGGGTTTTGCTTGCAAGTGGGGAATTTATAAGAAGTGTCAAATCTCTTTCTTACCAAAGCCTTACATTAGGTGATTTATAGGTTTTCTGGCTAACCAATAAAAGACTTTTTTACTACAAAACTTCCTCCTAAGGCACCCCCAGTACAACTGCCAAGTTAAGAAGAGCACTCCCGGCCCTAGAGATTCTTGCCAAGGTCAACCCCGCTGTGATCCACTTCACATCCACATCCTCAGGTGGCAATAAGAAGTTCAGAGACCTATTTCCCAACCAGACATTGAGTCACCTACCTGTCACCTTGCCAACGTATTGTTTGAAGGAAATCTGTTGTAGCAAAGGAAATAAAACGTGGGCTTCTTGAGACCTGGAATTGGAAAAAAAATAATTTTGTGCTGTTTTTTAATGTGAACTTTGTGTATTAAACATGTTTTAGGCATCCTTGAGTCTGTGCACTTCTTCCTAAGAGTAAAGGTACATTATACCTTCTCAATGGTACATTATACAGGTATCCAGAAACAGCTCAGGCTACACATGTCAGTGCACACAAACGCTCAAGATTAAATGATCTCTGTGCTCTAAGGAAGAAGCTTGTGTTTCAGAAGAAAGGAAGAGGTGTAGGGGAGAGGGAGGGAAGCTCGAAAGGGGAAGGAGAGAGAGGAAGGGGTCGGGAGAGAGGAAGGCCTTAGAGACTCAGAAAACCCACCCAATTGCAGAAAGGCTGTGTTAGTCTGGGTAGACTAGAAAAACAAATCCAGGGAGACTCATATGTGTATAAGAAAGAGCTTTATATACAAGAGCATTTGAATATTGAGAAAACATCCCAGCCCAACCCAGTCTAGATCAAGCCCATAAGTTTGATATTAGCCCATATGTCCAATACCAATCTACAAATTCCTCTTCAAACTCACGAAACACATGCAATGATGTCGAATGCAGGGAGATCACAGGCCAGTGGATGGAAAGTCTTGTGGATCCAGTAGTGGTGGAAGCATCTCAGCACTGGCGTGGGTCTCCACGTGGCTCCTCCAGCTCCAGGGCTCTAGCACAGTTCCATGTATTGTCATCAGGAAAACAAAGGAGAAAGTCTATCTGTGTCCTGCCTCCAGTGAGCTATTTATCTTTGCGGCGCCACCAAATGAGGTCATCAAGCTGCGACCTGATTGACAGGCTAGACTCCACCCCTTTGCAAGTTGACACCAGATTATGTAACTACCACAAATCACCCCTTGTCAACTTGACACTTTTAGACAACTCTTTAGCCGTGCATAAATTTTAACAGAACAATAAAAATCATATCTGTACCTAACAGGATGAAACTGAAATATGTATTCAAGAATGTGCCACCCTCATTTAAACATAACATTCTATACGTGAACAAAACAAAAAATATTTATATTTATGTGAACACCTACACCATAATCCTATGAAGATATTACCCCACTTTTGAAAGTTTGTAAACCAACCACTTCATGCCTTTATCCTCCCAATTTTGGGTATCCAATTTCTTGACTGCCCACTTATATCAAGCCAGTGCACTGAGGAGACAGTCATATTCTTTGATGTGAAGAATCTTTGTTCCATTTAGAACCTTGTGAGTCTGCGTCCATAAACAACGTCAAATCTCGACAGGCCATCCATAAAATCAGCAGCAATATGCACCAGTTCACAGGTTCAAAACCCTTTTCTTCATCTGGTCCGGTTCTGGTCAACTAAATGTGGGCCACCTCACTTAGCCTCACTACGGTGCCCATTGGCTGCCTTGCCTTTAGACCAGGGATCCCATCACAAATTCCCAACAACTCTAGTCCCCTTGTGCTAGGTCATGAACTTCAGACCAGTCAACCCGCTCTCATTTTCTCGTCTAGCCCCTGTGAACCAGGTCCATGGGTGTCATTGGCCAGACTCAACCCATCTCTTCATTTCTGCATTTCCTTCACTTCCACTCAAGTGGATCCAGGTGGTCACCTAGCAAGCATTTCAGCCTGCCCACAGGCTCCGCTTAACATTCAGTACTAGAGAGAATTTCTCTTCATAGTTTTAGATTTTTTTTCCCCAGGTTCTGAGAAAAACCACTAGTTCAAAATTCAAAAACCCAAAGAGTTCCTCTTTTTTTCTTCAATCTATCAGCAGCTCCCCCACCCCCACCCCCACCCCCCCCCGTACCACCACCACCCAGGCAGTTCTCTTCACTTTGAATGGCATGAGCACTCAAGACACTGGGCGGGCTTATCTCTTCAGAGCCTTCTTTGCAGGAGTATCTTAAACCCATTTACCTATCCAATTGTAATGACTGAAGACAAGTGGTATTACAAGCCCTCTATTTTCATACTTCCCAATAATCACTTCTATCAATTGTTATATCAATAACAATAAGCAGAAAAAATCAGTATAAACAAAGTAGAATCAAATCCAAAACTCAATTCTTAAAACAGTCAAGTTCAATTCTTATCTAAACTATTCCATTGATACAAAATGTTGCCTTAGGCCTCTGACTTCATTGCCTCAAGCTAGAGCTGGGCCTTGTGTCAGCCATTTTGACCTTCTGTCAGCCATTTGACCTTCTGTCAGCCATTTTCACTAAGTAGCATGGTCTCTGAGAAATTCAAGGGGTGATTTCTACCCCCGAGCTCACAATATACAGTAACAACATTCACTTTCACCATTTCAAACAGCAACCAAATAAACAACAACCAAATAAAATAATCAAAATGTTAACTTCCCATATTCTTTCCAGAAAACAACGCAGTAAACTACATGGCCATATCTGACCTCTGGCTAGCCAAAGAAGAAACACTACCATGAGGCAGAGGTCAAACAAGCATCCACTCTCCACCTCCACAATTTGTTTCTCTAGTACCCCACTCCCAAGGTACCAAAATGTGTTAGTCTGCGTAGACTAAAAAACAAATCCAGGGAGACTCATATGTATTAAGAAAGAGTTTTATATACAAGAGTAATTGAATATTGAGAAAACATCCCAGCCCAGCCCAGTCCAGATCAAGTCCATATGTCCAATACCAATCTACAAATTCCTCTTCAGACTCACAAAACACATTCAATGATGCTGAATGCAGGAAAATCACAGACCAGTGGGTGGAAATTCTGGTGGATCCAGTGGCAGTAGAAGCATCTCAGCACTGCTGTGGGTCTCCACGTGACTCCTCCAACTCCAGGCTCCAGTGTAGCTCCATGTGTCTTGTCATCAGAAATACGAAGCAGAGAGTCTATCTGTATCCTGCCTCCAGCGAGCTACTTATCTCCATCGTGCCTCCAAATGAGGCCATCAAGCTGTGACCCCTTTGCAAGTTGGTACCACAAATGCCTTTCCACATCATTTTGTAATGAAACCGGACATGAGTTAAGAGCACCCAGTTTGGGAAGTTCTGCTTCATGGAATTGTTTATGGAAAGGAGAGAGTTCGAGTTATTAGTTAGAGAACCAGCCAGGGCTATGTAGTACCTTTTTCTCTAAACCCCCAAAAGCCACTGTTTTCAGGTCAATTCCAACTCATAGAGATCTACAGCACTGAGCGGAACTGCTGGCTCTGAAGGTTGTACATCTTTGCAGGGGGGTCTGCCACAACTTTCCCCAGGAGATGGGATGGTGAGTTCGAGTTGCCAGTGGGCACTTTAACCACTGTGCCACCAAGACTCCTAAATTCCTTAAAGAGTGAAATATTCATAACCTTTTAAAAAATGGACACTGTTGTCTAAACGAGACTAAACACAAATGCTTACACCCTAACCACAACCCAGAACCAAGGTAGCCATAGGCATCCACTACACGCTTCCATTTGATGGTATTGACCTTAATAATAAAAAGCACGCATTTTTGTTCCTCATATCACCCCAAGTAGGTAGTGAGAATAAAAATAAATGGAGTCCTTCTGAAAGTGAGTGAGATTCAATAAGAAACCATACAGAGCAACTAGGTACTAATTGGCAGGCAGACAGTTCTTCCATTTCAACCCTTTGACATCTGAGAGCAAAATACCTGTACTAAAATATCACATTTACATAATTGCATCTGTGCTCGAGATACCGCGCTGGTCTCAAGGCTTCATACACCTGCGAAGTCGAGAGGTGGACGCTGAGGACTGCCTAAGTCACAGACCTGGGCTTCAAAACCAGTGCCGCACTGCCGAGTGCCCTCCGACTTGGAGACAAGCCTGGACGCACCAGGGGACTTCTCGACCAACGTCCCCTTCCACGAGTTAGCCAACTCTCACATCCTGAGACAAGTCCAGCTGGGATCGGGCTGTAGGCAGTTCAAAGCCAGCTCCACCCCGCCCGGCCCTCACTTGTCCATAGTCGGAGTAAAATGCAATTCCAGTGTGTTTTCACATAACACAAGTGATATCCATAATGCCAGAGCCTAAGAGAGCATTCGTTAACATTCTCTGCCCTTGCTCTGAATGCGGCACAAAACTCAGAATATGTTCTTAGTGATTTCCTGGCTTAGCATTGATTCGTGGTTGTTCTCTTTTAAGCAATTGTGAGTTTAAATGGTTACCTTTCCTCAAAAACATTTTTTATTTTCTTAGCAGGAGGGGGAAGAAGGTATTGTTTCCCTTGTGAAGCTCCCTTGTGAAGCACCCTTGTGTGAACAGAAAGGAAAAGGACAATTTATTCTAAACTACTGATACTTTTTCAACAATTTATAAGACAGCAGGGTGGGGGGAACTTTCCCTCCCTAAGGAGCCCTGGTGGTGTCGAGGATTACACGTTGAGCAGCTAACTACAAAGTTAGCAGTTCAAAGCTATATCAGCTGCTCTGAAGGAGAAAGATGAGGCTTTCTACTCCTGCAAGGAGTTACAGTCTCTGAAAACCCACAGGGACAGTTCTACCCTGTCCTACTATGAGGGGGAAGCCACTCAATGCCAGTCAGTTTCGTTTGGTTCCCCCGCTGCTGCCTAGTGTTAATCTGGAACTTACTAGCCTACCTGGGAACTCAAGGGAGTTACTTAACAAAAACCACCTGATGCGCTTGCTCCTTGACCCCAGGGCTCTGCAAAGTGTAGACTACAATCCAATGTCATTCATGAGCTATCTCTTACACTCCCCACAAGACCCAGAAATTGAAAGCAACTGTTTAGGAACTTTCATAGTAATTTGATCTCACCATGGCATATGCAAGAACCTGATTAATTTTTCCAGTAATTCATTTTCTTTTCTACATCTGGTATCCTTCCACGCAGTTGGAGATGAATTAAACTAGAGAACCCAAGAGGCCCTGCCCCACGCCATCCTGACTTACTTACTCCAGTGGGACGGAAGAGCAGTCTACCAACCCTGGGCTTCTTCCGTCTCTCAAAGAGGAAAGTAACCTTGCAGCACTAGCTAAAGCCTCACTCCGGATTAGTATAACTACGTCTGTGATTAAGAACATGTGTGGGTTCCTCTCCTGATGCTATTACTCTAAAGGCAAGGTATTGC